TCGATACAAGGTAATTTCTATTGATTTGTGGGCAAATCTTGCCTTTAATTCTTATTGATTTTTGGGCAAATCTTACCTTTCTCATGTTAAAGTTTTGTTCTTTGCTGCTGATTCATATGCTAAAGCTTTGTTGGATTATTTTTTTAAGTCAGTAGTTGATTGGATTTTGGTGTTAGTATGATGAAATTTACTAGATAATTGGGTGTTGGAAAAAATGTACTCTTAAGTGAGGAAATATTGAGGCCTGAAAAAGTCAGAGGAGCTTGATTGCTTTTCTGAGAATTATGTGTTCCTTACTTATGCAAGGCAACAACAATAGAATTATGCCAAAATCCTTCTTATCTATTAATCTTTGTTGTAGTGCTAGTTCAAGCAGATCATCTTAGATCTTACATTTATCACAAAGTTGAGTGGCTGAAGATTTGATCATCTTTCTAACAGGTTTTGACTTTGTAAATTATTCTTTAATCTTTATAATTATAGTACTTTGTTAATATTATGTAATTATTACACATCTATTTCATGTTTAGGCATCAAGTATGCATTTGTAGAATTTTTAGATTTTTATATGATTTTTCTTATTATTTAGAACATTTAAATATATTTATATTTGACCGCTATTTGACTGTGCGCTATTTGCCGTTATTTCGCTGCAATAGCGCGCAATAGCCTTAGCGGTACCTCGCCGCGACGCGCCGCGATCCGCTATCAACAACCTTGGCTATAAGAAGATCTAATATATACACGCCAAGGGTTTATCAATTAATTTTAAAAAAGAATTGAGCACACACAAATTACCACCTATTGTTTCCGTTTTACTGCCTCAACTCATGTTCAACTAACAAAGCAGGTTCCATCAAAAATAGTTTCGTTCAGGGCGGACTTCAGTGGATCATACATCTTTTCCGCCCAAACCATGATTTGGAAGATACAAAGTGCGTTATAAGAAGATCTAATATATAGACTCCAAGGATTCATCAATAAATTTTAAAAAAGAACTTAGCACACACGTTATCCTTCGCAAATCAAGCTCTTCAAGTTGTGCATAAGGACTCCCAAACATGAAACATACCAATTCTCCGACCTGTTTGCCATCATAATATGGTCATTAACAGAACTTGGATAACAAGCTCTAATCTTGGAGCTTTGATGTATTTTGTTCTTCTTCATGATCCATCTCCTAACTTTGACCTCTTCTCTTAAAACTCATTAGCTTTTACTTCTTCAGTAACTGTCACGTCCCAAACCAACACAAATATTACTGGAAATGGTAATGAAACCAAGACGTGACAGTCAGCCACAAATCCCTCTGGTTGAGGACAAGGTTTTAAATGTCGGCCGACATATCGGTTTGAGGGTTTGACCGACACGACATGAACGTTTTCAACTCGTATGTCGGTTTTCAGGGCAAAATCGGAAATATCAAGGTCATATCGGGCATATCGGCCTATTTTTTAGCTTTGAAAAATTGGCCGATATAGTATTTTTTTTAAGTTCTGTTTTTTGTTATCCGGTTCGGGTTTAGTGATAAATACCCAAACACGTTTGACACGTTCTCATGTTTAAGGGTTTCTTATAAACCCGATAGAAATAATTTATGAACCCAAATCCATATATTATTTACCTTTTTATATGTTTAGTCTATAGAATTTATAAAGTATGCTTATATTGAATTTATGAATGCTTAGATTACATTTAGGATATGATATTATACATATGCGCACTGAGTATGCTTATATTGAATTTATGAATGCTTAGATTACATTTAGGATATGATATTATACATATGCGCACTGCCCGATATTTAGTCAATGTCCCCTGATATATCCCCGATTTCCGCTATCCAACATGGATTTCAGCCATCCGACATGAACCCGACATCCAACATTTAAAACCTTGGTTGAGGACTTGCAAAACCTAATTCCAATATTCCAACAAGCAATATTTTCACATTTATGGTCCACAAACTTAAAATCTTGCATTCCAAGCTTACTTCCTTGATTGATACATTATATTGTTTGTCATTATTTGTACATCATCAAAAGTATATTTATATCACTCTGAAACTCTGAACTCCCAGTTATATAATAGAGATTGTAGACAAATATATACATCACAAAATCCTTCTAGGAGGAACCATTCCATTACCAAAAATACTAGCTATAAAGATTGCTTTCGACCATCGATCTTGTCCGTGTCCTCAAATCCTACTCGCCTTAGTTCTCCTCAACACGCTTGTCTGAAATGTTATTTATATTTAGGGTGAGCTTTCCACATGCTCAGTAAGCGGTGCATATTCAGTAATTTATATTAACAAAACTATGCATATCAAAAGAATATAGAACTTGATTTGAACTAACATGTTTGTAAACTTCGTCGAAGCAAGGAAATTCTGCATAGAAATCAAGCAATGTCACACCCTATCTTGACAACTAGACTGTCTATAGTGGCGACCTACCTAGAAAGGCTGCCTACCGCGACGCTCTGCCTTTTACGCCTTGACTCAACCAAACTGCCTAGTGTGATCTGTCTGGTCCGGACTGCTTACAGTGATGATCTGTCCATTATAACACCCTACTACATGATAGGCCTATGACTAACAACACAACATAAAATCTCAACATGACTCAATGTCATTAACCCAAATCTCTATTCATGTATAGATGTTGTGACCAAATCATTGCCCAATATGAAAATATCAACAAGAATCAATGCAATACTACCAAGATTATAACATAACTTAAAAAATAGCAATAATACGAAACTCATGCTTGTATGACCATGAAAGATGCAATTCCCATGTCAAGGAAAATGAGTATAACATAAATTAAAGAATGTCCCCACCCTTCGCAAATTCCAAATCCTCGTGTAGTCCTTCAAGAGTTACTCGTAGCTCTTACTACATCTTCCTATTAAAATACATACATACATAAATATCAATTCTAACTTAATACATATGTATATCTATCAAGTAAGCGCTTGCATTCTCAACACTAGTTATCTTAGTATAGAATCCTTCAAATGTCTTAGGATAGTCCTCAATATCTTTGCATACCTTATATAAGTGTTTTAAATTACTAAATCGATTTAATTGCTACAGGGGCCTCTCTGAAATTTTAGAAAATTACAGGGGTCTATTTGTAATTTCTGTTTACGGTCCAGATTTCTCTACTGCAGGGTCATCATAAAGTCTATGGACTATCCAATGATAAAACATAAATGAGCTTTCTTCATTATGCATTGATTTCAGAGGCTATTTGATAAAAGGTGGGCTGAAATTCAGCAAACCTATGGGTCTGAAAATAATCTCTCTCCTACTGTGCCACTTCCTGCTACAGCTGAAGCAATTTCAATGGCTTTTCTTAGCAATAGTACCTTCTAAAATGCTTCTAAAAGACTAATGGAAGGACTTATCTGATGGAATTGTATAGGCATATTGTTAATACACAACATTAGACCTTCCCTGACCTTCAGGTTCAATATGTGGTTCAACTGAAATGCAGACTGATATTTAGGTTGACAAACATAAATCACTACAAGGTCTTGACACTGCAAGGGATCAAATGTGAACTGCAGCTGCCAATAAAAGCTTCCACGGACAGGATTTCGCTTAGATAGAATAGGTCCATTAAGGTCTGACTCATGCCTATGGGGCTTGACAAACATAAATCACTACAAGGTCTTGACACTGCAAGGGATCAAATGCGAACTGCAGCTGCCAATAAAAGCTTCCATGGACAGGATTTTGCTTAGATAGAATAGGTCCATTAAGGTCTGACTCATGCCTATGGGGCTTAGGTGAACTATATACCAAAGTTCGGATTAATATCTAAAGAATTGTCTTTACCTAAGTACATAGAAATTACTGGCAAGGCATGAAAAGAGTAATTAATTTTTAAAACTACATGTACTCCTCTTTCTTATCCTTTCTTTTACTCGTTCCTCCTCTCTATTCTCTTCTTGTTGAATCAGGAGCAGAGACTTCTCTGTATTTATTTTTTCTAGCTGGAGCTCCTTCTACTTCTCTCTGTATCCTCCTGGATGCCTTTCTTATCTGTTTCTGCTTTTGTTTCCTTGGCTGCTGCTTCATCTTCTTTCCTTTTCTTTCTTCTCTTCTTTCTCTGTTACTACACCCTCTCTTCTTCTTCTTTTCCCTTGCAGGTCCGGGGACAAGGAATAAAATAAGCTCCTCCTTCACCTCCTTTTGAACCATATCAATCTCGGTTTCTATCATGACACCTCAATATGTCCACTCCTACTAGTCACACTTGTCTCCCTCTCTTTCCTTAATGTAACTTCACATCCATTGAACTGCCACCTCATCATTAATCCATTGAAATGTCCCTATCATTTATAGTATAATGCCATGCCAACTGCTTCCAATCCATAAAACACGTGCCCATATTTTTTGCAGAAAAGCCCTTATCTTTTTCATACTTGCATCACTATAATATCATACCAATTGTTCTTCGTATTTGCAAATAAATTTTACAAGAACATATAATTCACCATCTAATTCATACAGTAACTCTTTCCTCGACATCTATTGAGTATGTTATCTATTCTAGTTGCATTATAAATGGATACACTTAAGGTTAGCACTATGGCATGATACACCAACACTTCTTTGGAATCTACAGGCATGCCTGATGAGCTAGTTTGCATGGGTAATTACGTTTATTGACCTTATTCCAGATAAAAATTACCACTCAAAACCTGCGGAAGTAAATATCAATTGGAGAGAAAGGGAAATCAAGATATTGCAGTAAAATATATAATACTTAAGGATTTTCCAATTAAATATTGGTGGTAACATCATATGCATGCCTAAACAGAATTTGATGTGAACCATGGTTCTAAATCAAGAAAAATAAGCTGGTTAGGAGTACGGAATACCAATATGTCCAAGGATAAGGATGTCACCGGTTAGGTTTGGCTCGATCCATAATGGTGCACACATAGAAGTCAAGAACTTGGGATGCTATCGCGAACCACAACCCGGGTTCAATCATCCCAGATTCGCGTGGAACACGACCATATTCACCAACTCCAGAGACGAGATTTAAATTCAACCCAACTAATTTTTTTTTTTAAACTATTTTTTAAAAGAATAAATGACAAAATGCGATAAATTAAGCAAATAAAATATGCATATGTTGTTGCAAAATGATTCTTAAGGTTCTTTTACCATTACTAATATCTACTAGCATATTTCTTAAATTTTACAAAGCTTTTAATTCCTACATTTAATAACCGAACCTAAACCGTACCACATAACCTAGGTTACCGGTTAATTTTTTAAAGCCACCCCACCACACACACACACCCATTCCTAATGAGCAGCGTACCACGCTCCCTTACCCATCCTGTGAACTGAACGAACCGGGTTCCATGAAAGTACGGGTGCACAAGTTGGTTTCATTTTTCAATAGATTGTGCAACATTCTTCTCAGAAATATATAAATAGACCTATTAGTACTGATTAATATAAGCTTCATTTGATTATGTCAAAGAGGATGGCATATGTCAAATATTGGTAGGATCAGTATATTGGTTGGAGTTATTAACTGAATTACAGTGCTATCATTTGGGAGAATATGAGGAGTTATTAACTGAATTACAGTGCTATCATTTGGGAGAACCATATTCCTAAAACTGGCAATAGTCATAACAGGCTGAAATTAGTATACACAGTGATACAGATTTCACTGCTTTTAACCATCGAAAGAATTTTGCACAATTTCCAGAACATTGTAGTGCAATCATACCAAGCCCATGAATCCTATTAGAAACCTAAAAATGATCTTTACAACTACAACAAGAAAATCTTACTTGTCCATTTGCTTATGACCCTTTTTCTTGTTTGTTACACCACCGCTGCGTTCAAGCTCCAGTGCTTTTAACTTATTTTTAAAAGCTGGCGTCTTTTTTACCATGTTTATTGCCTGCAGCCAATGACGGAAGACACAATATTTAGATAAAAGAAGTTTCATGTATTAAAATGAGAAATCTGTTCAATTAAATAATCAAGAATAATATTATTTATTTTCTTTTGGTGGACCATCACATACATGATTTAACAGAGTTAACACAGAACTTATTCACGTAAACATATCAATGTAAACACTCGTAATCGGCATTTGAAAAACTGTTTATGTTTCCATTTACAGACCATGCCATCTGATACAAAATTTTAAGGGCACATAAAGAGAATTTTTCCAGGAGCATATGTAAATTTTAATACGTGAAAAGTAATTATCATGGTAAATGTTTGCCATTGATCTTTAACTACAGCCATGAAGCTTGTTAATTTCACATTTGCATCCTAGCCAGATCCATTAACTGAACTAAGAAACCTATAAGACCACTTGGAGAGTAGGTACCGCTACCTTATGGCTATAGTTAAAAGCTCATGGAACCCTGGAACTCCCTTGGACGGGGGAAAGTTACAGATAAAAGGACCTTATGGCTGTAGTTAAAAGCTCATGGAACCCTGGAACTCCCTTGGACGTGGAAAAGTTACAGATAAAAGGACAAAGATGATATTCAAAAGCTCATGGAACCCTGGAACTCCCTTGGACGGGGAAAAAGTTACAGATAAAAGGACAAAGATGATATGGTTTACATAGAGGATAAACAAAGGAAAAAGAGACAAAAATGTTTAACATTGCAAACTGATTTAGTTAGATCAAAATCATCTTCAATTGTGCTCTGCAAAATTGATAGACAACCATACGCGAGATGGAATATATTTGACATTGCAAACTGATTTAGTTAGATCAAAATCATCTTCAATTGTGCTCTGCAAAATTGATAGACAACCATACGCGAGATGGAATATATTTGACATTGCAAACTGATTTAGTTAGATCAAAATCATCTTCAATTGTGCTCTGCAAAATTGATAGACAACCATACGCAAGATGGAATATATTTGAACAATTGAACCATGAGAAAGTCAATCAAAAGCAAAAGGAGGTCGAGATCTACGAAGCAATGGTAGAAGGACAATATAAACTATAAAATATAAATATAAGGAGCCAACATAATAAGCTGAGCTAATATCGTCAATAAATCTTGTATTATAGACATGGTTTAATTTCTTCACTTAGTTTACGACATGATTAGATATTGGTTTGAGGGGGAAAAACTCATCAGGATAGACATTACTATCAAGAATGCGGTTAAACTCATATCTCCGTATAGAAACAGCTCAACCTTTAATTTCCTCTAAGTCTTTGAAATCTAATTCTTAGTATTTATGTAATATTTATTGAAGGTTTAAGAGAATCAAGTAAGCTCCCCATGGGGAGAGAGATTCTCCCAGGCTTCGTGCCCGTTGGTCAAGAGATCGAATCCTTGTTACCACATTCACCTGGTCCCTCTGGCTTTAGGGGGTGGGGGGACCCGGGGTTTACTTGGTCAGTAGCGGCTCGACCCGCTGTCTCTGGTTCGCATCTCGCCCGGTCCACACACCGCTCCGGTCCACACACCGCTCGCCCATGTGCTGGGGATGAGCCCCCTGGTACTTAAGGGGTAGCTCCTTGCGGATTGTTGGGGACTGGGGGGATTCGAACCGGGGTGCGGCGGACTCCAAAGGGAGTTTAAGTGGAGGTACTGACCAAGGTTCCCTTGTCAACAAAAAAAAAGTAAGCTTTTTGAAGAGATTGTACAAAAGGTGCTCGAACATAATTTTCTTTAACCCTAATACCATATTGGCCATTTACTTTGTTATCCTTTAAACTACACTAAGATAATAGTGTTTCAAGAAGACATAGGTTCTTCTGTTTAACAATAGCATGAAACACTGTTTATGCCGTGCCTTCATAACTTTTCAACATCATCAAAATCTATTATTTGGGCTTCACTGGCTCCTTCTCTGCCCCTTATACCAGTATTTCTCAAAACTCTGATTCTCCATGTAAATCCTTCTTTCTAAGAGTATACCCCCTCCCCATAAAAAAAACCACCGGCCCCAAAAAAAACCACCGCAAAGTCTTCAAAGCGAAAACATTGAGCAGTAGCCGGCTGACCTATGAATAAGTGGAAGGGCGGTGGGCCATTGGTGCAGGTATGGCATTTATAGAACTAACTCCAGCTTGCCGTAGCCTCGTGTCTGCTCAATACATGCGCGAGGGGGGATACACCTAAAGAGTACCAGTCTTCAGACCCTTAACCATATGGGAGAAACTACGCTCATCCTGTATATCGTTTTTATGTTAAAATAACAACAATACTTTTCCATATTAGAGGCTGTAAAAGATAACTTGCAATATTTACTTTTCATTTTTATGAGAATTTTCGTTTGACACTGAGAATCATATCAGCAGGTACTGCAGCTAGGGTACGTGAATGTAGTTGTTAGGCATACCTTGAAATATATTCATTTAAATGAATAACAATCCATAACAAACCTGAGAATATCTTGAACACTGGTTGAGATACTGCAATGCAGAAACAACCAAAAGAAGGCCCACCAAAACTGCACGAGGATCCTGTCATTAAAATTAGGAATAGGAACTCTAGTGATTGACTCAAAAATAAAATTTGATAGCAATTCCTAAATATAAATACAAAACGTAAAGATGAAAAATCTCAGCAGTTGCACAATAGTACTTACTGTTTTGTGCCCATAATATGCATGATAGTATCTAGCTGCATTATAAAATACCTGAAAACAAAGAATTATTGTCAAAGAATTCCTCAGAAACTGATAGCAATGAACTATCTAATCAGCACAAATATATCCTAGCTTATATCTCGCATTATGGCAATGCTGCTTAAACCTTTTCTCCTCAACTGCTAATGTGCTATGCATGACAAGATAATAAAATTTGAAGTCAATGAACAGAATAATTCCGTGAAGGCTATGAGGACTATACGTTAGTCAGACAAGTAAAGGCTGAAATAGATTAACAAATCATATCCGAGATATGTCAAATAACCAGTACTGCAACAAAATTCAGAACTACTTCCATGATTTCGATACGAAGAAACGGCCAATAGATATCGTCATTTGGACCTTCATTCAGAGAACATAAAACCCTCAAAGATAAGAAAACATAACTAACTAGTATTTGCAGCAAATTTATCGCTGAAAGAATTTATGAAAAAGACATTTATATGCACCAATAAAAATATTACCTCCTCTGGGTGTGCAATTGCATAATCATACTGCTCCCTTGTGGCCTCATCCTTTAAAATCTGCAGAAAATTTACAACAGGGTAATGACATTGATAACTAAGAATTAAGTGACACCCTCTAGCCTGCCCAAACTCTATGCTGCATCATACGATTACAGTATATAGCCAAAAAAATTATGTTGAATCGCCCTGAGAAGTTAAAAACTACAATTTTCAACAGGGATGCTCAACAGCACTGTAAATCACTACTCATGGGGATACACCAACAGTAGGGATATTCATGTGATATGCTAATACTGTATCTTATTACATGGAAGAAAAAATTAGAATTAAAAGCTCAAAATATAATCATATTTGTACTAATTCATTATTAGTGACTCCCAATTATAGGAAAAATTTTGTGCAATTTGCCACACACCATATCCCAATTATAAGGTATAGGTATTTTAAAAAGTCATGGACATAGAACAATGGCGTAAATTAAGTGGACAAGATGACTCGTAATTAAACCCACCCGCCAGGCAGCGATGTAACACGGCCCATTTAAGGAAGCTGCTACAGGGGATCAATTACGGCTCCGTATATTGAAAGTTCAGATTAGGGAGGGATGGCTGACCCATTTGATAAATGAGTAAGTCGCTCGTAATATGCGTCAAGCTCAAAATATGTAAATGTATCATATGCCACCTCACTGCCAAGAGAAATACTCTGTGGTTCTTGGCATAACACAAAACATGATTGATGTACATGCAAGCAATGCATAGTTTACTATATTTCAACAGAAATTTGTTAGCAGCGAAGATCCTTAGACCACTTGGTGTTAATTATCTTTTCAAATCGGTTGTATATTATGCCCTGTCTCTAAATGTTCTTTCTTTTATTTTTAATCCTGTCATTTAACATTTTGACTCATTTGTATATATGCAAACACAATGGGACTTGAGTAGGGAGTTATAGTAAGAGATTAAGAGGCTCAGCTTTAGCTCTGCATAATGGCTGGTGAGATAATGAACCCACTTATAAATGCACTAGTGGCATATGGATCGATCTCAAAAAATATAAACATATTGTCAACATTTGATTGGCATGAGAGATATTACACTGATCCCTGTGCACTGTCAGAAAGATTCATAATATGCAAGCAAGATGGATCTTCCATACATTGACCACAAAAAAAAGGGCATGAGAGAAGTATGTTGACACTATGGAGCCTCATGGCAATACAAAATACATGGTAGTATTAAAACATAGATGTTGAAGATGTAATATCAATAGATTACAATTGAAGACAATGACTTTCGTGTAATGTGCACAATATCATTGGTTTTTGTTGTCTATATCATTGGTCTTTGTTGTCTATACAATTGGTTTTTGTTGTCTATATCATTGGTTTTTGTTGTCTATACAATTGGTTTTTGTTCTCTACTTACGCTTGATAATACCTGATTAGTGGGTAACATAGGACTTTGTAATCTGAACATATGTAATAATGTGGCTTTTACATTATTCAGAGAGAAGAAATACAAGTTCCTTAATGGTGAGTATTTCATACAGATATGATACAAAATGATTGAAACAGATATAAATAGAATAACTTTACCTTATTGTCATCATTTTGGAATTCATTCATTCAATAGTAATCAAATGAATAATCAATGGAGATAAATTATTAATAGTTGCTTAGGACTCTATAAATCTGAAAGACAAATAAATTCATATAGGCTACGTGAAGCAAAATAGTTTAACATATTCTGGATATAAAGTGTCAATATCGACTTGTCATTTCCCCAACAAACTTACCCATAAAATATTATAACATCATTTGTTATGATTTATTTTTTGAATATAACTATCAAAATTTTAATCACTACAGCTATATTCCCATCTTTAGTTTATGTATACCATATTAAAATGCAACTTGTGATAAAGATAATTATAGAGGTGATCGCTGTCTTCTATGAGTGGATATGCTCCATCCAAAGTGATTGACGAAGTGTAATTTATAAAAGAAAAGGACCACCGACAGAAACCAAAAATATATATCGTTAGTCAAAAGTCTTGTGATAAATAGTGATTTAGGTTTGACACAAATAAAGTATAGCCTATAGTTGGAAGAGTCCACTTTCAAGACAATGTCCAAAATTGTGACATTACTGAACTTGAGAAACCTTCAGTTGTCCACCATGGTTACTCAGCTCGATGAGGGCGAAGTTGGCCACAAAATGCAAAATTTGTCAGGGATTTCGATGAAGAGAACATGGTAGTAATGATATCTTTAATGCAAAATCAAACATGGAGGATTGTATACTAAGAGTGGCAATTTCACACCACATACAAGCCTGAACCAAATGCAAGTGAAGTTAACAGGTTAGTATATGCCTTAACCAATCCGCATCTTAACCAATCCGCATCACGACGGGTCATCCAAGAAACCTATTTACTAAACAGATTCATTCTTTGATGTGCCCTACCAAAGTAAATTTTTGTACACTTAACTATCACTATTGCATTTCAAACTTAAAGTATTACTAGTTAAGGTGCTCAAAGCACTTGGTTACTTGTCATTTCAAATCGGTTGCGCGTTCAGATCCACCATTCAAAAAGTCATATTTTTATATTTACTTTCGATATTTACGTCATATGCAATTAACCATAATCCATGCATGAGTTTGATCGTTTAATAAAGGTTTTACGGCTCAGCCTAGGCTCATTATATTGGCAGGTCGGTTTCCAGAAAGGATACTTTGATTCATTTAATGAATTTGCAAAGTTTCATGTTGCATAAAAAGACAACAAGCTAATATAACCGAACCATTATCGTTTCTAAATCTAAATATACCGAAGTATTAAAAGATAAGATACTATATTCATTAAAACTTAAACAAATTCTACATGGAACGTTTGGGAAGATTAACCAATGCAGTTATGTCTGATCCATAGTTGCATGGAACCTGGTCCGTTCTGGTTCACGGGTATGGGAACGAGGAATGCCACTCACTAGAAATCGTTTACAAAGGGCGTAGGCTTATACGGTATGTTAGGGAGTGCAATACGCTTTATGTTTGATCCTTAAATGTAGGAGTTGAAGGTTTTGCCAGAGTCAAATTTAAAAAATATATGCTAGTTGTATCAATAATGGTAAAAGAACCTTAAAAATCATGTTGCGATCAAGGTACGCATACTTTATTTGCTTAATATATCACATTTTTTATTGTTTCTTCGCTTAAAAAAAGAGTTATTTTTCCCCAAATTAACTGGTTCAAAGTCTAAGGGTCACTTGAGTTGGTGAATCGGGTCGTGTTCCACGCGAATCAGGGATGATTGAATCCAGGTTTTTCCCCAAATTTCAACTGGATTGAATTCTAAATCGGGTCGCTTGAGTAGATGAATTAGGTCGCATTCCAAGCGAATCTGGTACGATTGAATCTGGGTCGAGGTTCGTTATAGCATCCCATGTTCCCGGTTTCTATGGTCTGATCTAGAAAAAGATATAAATAGCGAGTACTTAATTTTTCTTCGGGATGCATGAAACATAAATCACCCAAAATTCAAAACCTTGTCAGCTCTTGGATTGCTATAATCCAGATGACGTATTGAGATAATAACATGCATATCCATCTAACATAAACGTGTGCAAGTAACAGCTTCTAGTTATGAATTCATTTATACAGAGGAATTGAAAAGTTAATCAGAAAGCTATGTTTCACGACACCAAGGATGTCTCTAAGTCAAAATAATGCAGCAGTGAAGTTAATAAATTATAATTGATCCTTAGAGACTAAAGAGCTATAAATAGTTATAAGTTAATGCAAGCATAAACATCATATCATTGACATCTAAGATTCTAAATGCAAAAGATTATAACATAATGCTAGAAAACATGAAATTTGCTCGATATAACTTGCAATGGCCTGTCTAAACAACTTGAAATAAGTTGTCCTTAATTGTTTTTGGCTATGACATTTGTCGTAAGACATGGATACAGTAGGAAGAACAATAGTATAAACAAAAAGAAATCTTCATCAAGAGATTAAAAATCAAATGGGCCAGTTCAAAAGGTTCATATTAAAAAGTCTATCAATACTGCCCAGCTTATTTGTGATCCGACACCTTTCCAATCTACAGCTACAGAACTTCAACAACTCGAAAGTTTAAGTTTCACAGATTTACTGCTATCTTATAGTATTTGTAAGCCTTTAGAAGAATTATAGGTAATGGTTAGAGAGATGAGAGGAATAAGCTAGAAGCATCACTACACCATGCCAAAACTTGGTCATCACCATATTTTGTTCCCTGCCCTACCTTCTTTTTAATATTCCATTCAGTGGCATGCATAATCCAAGTATTCCATGAAAATCCCACATGATCTCGCATATGTGGTGAAAAGCATCAATTACGCACTTTGGTTCCTATTTTGGCCATGTCAACTCTCAGTGAAAGGAGCAGCCAATTCTTTGCACACTTATTGAGACATGAATGAGTAACACACCACTGAGCATAAATCAGAACTTAGAAGTCCGATCATCTAATTTTTTCATTAGGGGTCATTCACTTATGCAGTGTGACCATACGTTCACACGCAATGGAAAAAACTCGTCTGCAAATGCTTATGCATAGATGCAGGGACAGATCTAGAAAAAAATTCTTACAAGGGCACATCTTCAATTATACATAAAAAGTAATAGCTTATGTAACATAAATGGTTCAGCCAGAAAAACAAGAAAACACCCCCAAAACCAATGTTCATATTCATGTGTATGTTTCAAGGCCTCTTATTGAGAAGTGACTTCTTGAAACATCAACTCACGTCACCAAACAAGTGAAATTGAGGTTTTCTAGAAATTGAGATTGTTTAAGCATCAACCAAACAATGAAAAATCTTTTCTAAGAATCTCACAAAAAGACAAAATTTTGTTGCATATTCGACTCTCTAATGCATATTTGACTCCGCTAGCTTACTCTAGTTTGAGAAAGTGGTTTTCAAGTTGATATTATACTTTACTTGAAGAGTCCCACATCTGCATCGTTATTTCCTCCATCAATATCTAATGGTCTGCGGTCTCACTGTATAGAATCCCCGCCCCGTTTTTCACACAAGGAAGAAAAACATTACACCTAATTTAATTAGTGGTTGTGTTAGAGTTACCTGGTTTGTTCTCCATAAATTGAGTTTTCTAATAGTTGGGGTTTTGATCCAAATAGCCTCTTAATCTCATAATTTTTGGGTTAGTTTGAAGTAATAATGTTGAGATGTGAGTTTCCTTCATAATGGTACCCTGATTAAAAATAATTTACACACTAACGTAGATTTATATATTTATTTTTATTCAGATTATTGAGGTCATGAGCGCAGAGCCTTTCAAGGTTAATATACGGAGCTTCTTTATCTGGAAAGGAACCCAATGTGCGATAATCACAAACAAGGAAGGTTAAAACTTTAACTAATTATACAATAATTTAGATCAGATGGATATCTCAGTGCGTATCTATGAAAATGCACATGTAATTTGTTTTCAAATTATCACGTACAATCAAATCAAAGAAGTTGGCAGATAAAGTTAGTTTTAACTATGTATTTCTTTTCCTTTATGAGTGTAAGGTTCTAACTTATTAAATTGATATATTATTTTGGAGGGTTCTCTTGATGAATTGGACTTCCAATTTGCTTATTTAAAATGTTAACTTGAAATAATTACTAGGCTAAGTTGCACTTAAATACCCTATAGTTTCACAAACCATGCACTTAAATGACCACCACCTTAAAACTGAACAAAGAAATTCCTCCAAGTACTTAAATATTAAAGATAAATACCCCAAAGTTTCAAAATATTGCACTTTCGCGTCCTCTTGTTTACCCGATGCTGCATATAAATACCCTCAGTTTGTATATGGCTTCACTTAAATATGAAAGTTTTTGAAAGTTACACTTAGTACCCTTTGTTATGTGGTGTCCAAGGGAATATGGAGAAACAGGTTCTTTTTAACTTTGGGGCGTTTATTCTACGACATTTAAATACTTTTGGGCATTTATATGCTCAGCTGTATAATAGAGGTCACTTAAGTGCAATTTAACCTAATTAATATGGAGGAAACTATGAAGATTTTCCTTATCCCCTATTCTGCCTTTTTTCCATCCTAACGCCGCTGCACCGTGCAGGTCAAGTTTGCTCGTAACAATTAAAAAAATCCAATTTCACCAATGCCCAACACTGGATAGAACTGTTTTTGCCTTTCCCATAGGCATAATGGCATTGACAAAAATGATGAACCTAGGACTCAAAAATTAACACAACAGGTCAAAGGTGGATTTTTTTTTCCTTCGTAACTCGAAGATTATGTAACATATTCTCGTAATCTCAATTCAGGTTAAAAACCAAATTTGGAAAATTAAAGTGAAATTGCAAAGGGCGGGATCCGTACCTCATAAGCATTTGCAATCTTAACAAAGAGCTTTTTAGACTCAGGATCTGGATTCTTATCGGGATGACTACAACCAAAAAAATAAAAATCACAATAAATCGACATCGGGCAATGGGAAAGTTGGATCGAGGGGCTTACTGTTTAAGGGAGAGCTTGTAGTAAGCTTTCTTGATCTCCGATGCATTGGCACTCTGCGTAACCCTAGAGTCGAGAATTTGAGAGAGAGAGGGTTAAAAGGAATTCGATAAAGAGATTTGCGAGAGAGAGAGAGAGAGTTACCCGAGGAGATCGTAGCAATCGTCTTCGTCGCAGTAAATGGCGACAGAGGGTTTGAGGAGGAGGAGGAGGATGAGGAGAGAGGAGAAGAGAAGGGAAGACAACATCGAGAGCGCCATAGTTGGGTCTCGATCTTGGTCTCCTTCTCTTCGGTCTAAGTCTTCCAACCCATAAGTAAACAAGAATTTTACTAGAGTCTGAGGGCGTGTTTGTTTGTACGAAAATAAGCTGCCAAGTAGAAAAGTAGAAGAAGGCCATTTTTGTTTCTCCATATAAAAAATTATATTTATTTCTCTATGTATAAAAATTATTGTCGTTATTCTTTAAACACTAAGACCAAGTGCAATGGCAAGGCAACTCAAAAATTATTACATCCAATAGCAAGGCAAATTGAAAGGCAAATGAAAAAGTTGGAGAGAGAAAGACAATGGAAGGCAAATTTTGCCTTTGTGTTAAATTTCTTGTTGGGCCCCGCGTGTCATAAAGTTTTTACAATTATTCTCACATTGTTTTTAAATGACTGTTTTGATCAATAATTACTCAAAATTAATTTTTTATTTTTTCACCACTATTTATTATTTTTCAAGATCTATTAATAGAGCTTGAGTTTGTGTTATTTGGACAAAGCAAATAAAACTTAATTTTTTACTTAATTATCATGATTAAGTGATGTGGAGGAAAGATAAAGTGAAAAACTTTTTGAAAAATTAGTTGTTGTGGAATTGAAAGTCAATTAAAAAAGGCAAGTGATGTGGAGGGAGAACAAAGTGAGGTGGAAGGAGAGAGAAAGGCAATTTTTGCCTTGCCATTGAAGATGATGTGACATCTAGTTGGCACATCTATTTTCTTGATATTTTTTCTCTTTCGAATGCCCAGAAATATGGCCGAAGTAGATGTAAGGTGGGATCCACAAAAGAAAAATAATTCTCAAAATTATAATTAAGGAAGTGATCAGATCCCCTTCTTGATGATATCCTCACAACCGACTCTCAAGAACGTGAAAGGGTCCCTCAAAGCTCGCAGGAAATTTTCTAGTCCCCGCCATCTTCGCGGCAAAAAGCCTCCTTCCTTCTTCATCGTTCTTTCTCTTGGCTGTAACAAAAAGGTATGCAAAGATTAAAAATTAGATCTTTTGTTGTAATTAAATTCATGCAACATTTCTATATTATTTGTAGAAACCTTTCATAAAGTTTGATCTTTTAGTTATGGTCCTTTGAGACGTAATAGTCAAAAAATTTGGGGGTTTTTTTGGTTCATGTAGAAATAAATCATAATTTTTTTCATTAATTGCTACATATTTTCTTTATGTTTTAAATTAAAGGATTTACATTAAAAACCAATTTTATGAATTAAATTAACTAGTTTTTTTCTTAATTAAGGGATGGGTTGTAAATTATGAGATGAATCTTAGGGGCTGTTTGGTTCGTTTCCTTGATATAGAGAAATGCAATTCCATGTAAAAAAACACAAGTTTTGTGTTTTCCAAACTTTTCCAAGAAATAGATTGTTTTGCTTTGGTTCGCACATAAAAAATGGTGGGAAACCAATGTATTTATTTTTCTTGTGTTTGGTTCGCATAGAAAAAAAGAAAAACTTTTGTAAACAAAGCAGAGAAGGAAAAAAATCTGACGTGGCAGAGTTTTCATCAATTTTACTTGGTTGGGGAAGGAAATCGGAGAGGGAAAAAAATCTTAGTTGGCGGCGATTTCAGCAGAGTTTTCCCTCTTCCATCCCAGCGAACCAAAGCGACACAAAGAAATGGACGGAAACAAAAAAACTGACGTGGATGGCTAAAAATCTGACGTGGAGGGGTGTTCTGAGTTTTCCACCCCTTATAATAGCGAACCAAACAGCCCCTTAAAAAATTTATTATATATTTGAGATCATTTGAAGACGAGTATTCATTGAAGAATTTCCAAGTTATGGTGGATTCTGTAAGGTTATGACGGATACAGGGGGATTAATCATTGAATGGGGAAATCGTTATCTTCTTAACTAGTTTTTTTATTATATTCTTTGATAAGAGCAGAGGTAATATTCTTCAATTTGAAAATATATTAATTTTTGGGGAAACTAATGTACAATTGTGTTTATGCTTTTCAACTAGTTTTTAGGCTCACTTTCAAATGCTCTTGTGCTTATGCAATTGTTTCATATCATTCTTCTTAATTTTCTTAAATCGATAAAATATACAGCATCTGCAAGTGAAATGTAATTTTTATGAGTTTACTGATATAATTGATTTTATGAGAACTAACCTTTCTTAATGTAAAGTGAATTTATAGTAGCATGAGAAAATATATTTTAGAGACAACAACGTTGTTAGGATGTGAGAATCATATTATTTTTTGTTGATGTGAAAAATAAATTGGCGAATTTTTATAATAACCACATGCGTTGATTTTTTTTAATTTTTATAACATTTTTTTATTTGTTTTATGTAGAATATGGAACCTTCAAAAACTAGAGATGCTACACTAAGTTGCTTTGCTGCATATGTGGCGTGTATAGTGTGTGCTTACTTTATATTGGTTGAGAATAAAAGAGAAGCAACTCCTAGGCAACCAACCGAGTTGAGAGATTCACAGAGAAATGCTTATATCTACTGATTGTTCTATGGCGGCAAGACATTTGCATATGACTACTTAAGAATGGATAGAGGTCCATTTTTCAACCTTGTCCGCATGTTACGAAAGACTAGACTTCTTAAAGATACCATATATGTTTCCATCGAGGAGTAAGTTGCTATGCTTTTACACATAGTAGGGCATAATGCAAAAAATAGGGTTGTTGGTATAAACGTCGTACATTCAGGTAAAACTATTAGTAGGTACTTCAATGCAATCCTCGTGACAATATAAAAACTGAGACCATTACTAATAAAGCAAGCGAGTGGTGAGGTATCCGATGAGATTCGTTGTAGATCAACTTGGTACCCTTGGTTTGAGGTAAAGTGGATTATTTTTCAATCTTTTATATCTATACTTCATAAGGTAATATCATACTCCCTTTGAAAGTACGAGTTCGGGAAAAATTTTCGGTAGACAAAAAATATCCCTATAAAGTTTAAACTATCCTAATTCTAATTAAATTATAACTTTTAAATTGTATAACTATCCTAATCATAATCGAATTCTAATAATTTTTACTTTGGTCTGCCAGAGTTTGTTATGGTGGTTATATGGTTGTTGCTCCTAACAATTAAATGCAAGTTAGGATTGTAAAAGATACAGCGACAGAATAATTAAATATTTAATATGGTTGTTGTTACGCCCATATTTAAACCGAAGGCATACTTACGATGATTGGATAATGATATTTAACCTTATAACCTGCAGCAAAATATGATTATTACTTAAATATTCAACGTTCATGTTGATATTTAAACCGAAGGCATACGTTGATTGGATAAAATTTAGAATTGAATATCATTATTACTAGAAAATCGAAGGTATGATATTTAAACCGAAGGCATACGTTGATTGGATAAAATTTTGAATTGAATATCATTATTACTAGAAAACCGAAGGCATACCTTGATAAACATCTTTAAATTTAAAATAAACAATGAAACACAATCCTATTCAAATTCTAATTTTAAAATTTTAAATGTTTGCACAAATAGAACTCTAATATGATTATTATCCTATCACATGCAATACCTCATGCCTATATATAAACCAAGAAATTACACAATTATCATAATAACTTCATCTCCTTCAACATGTATGTTCCTTTTTTTATTTTCATGATTATTCTTTAGAAATATTGTGTATTTAATTTAACGGTGATACTTGTTTTGCACAGCAATTAGTTTTTACGACAATGAATATTTTTTAAATTTCTTCAGTTTTCATGTAATATTTAGAGGATTAAGGATTTGATTGTTGTAGGTTATCCCATCTATCAAGATAAATCTTCATATTTAATATTATTTTAATTTGGTTTTATTTGCTTATATATTTTATTTGATTAAACCCACCTCTAATACAATCCACTTCATTTCTACATGATGAATACACTAACAAGCAAGCTCCGGTAATTACGTATGAGAGAAACTTGCAATCAGATGATCAAATTAGTTATGTATTTAGCATGGTTTTTAGAATCTTATTCTCACGATATCAGATCAGGAACAAACCTGAGACTTATCTTGACTAAGGCTATACATAATTAGACAAGCTCATGTGCAGAGGTAAACAGGTGTTGGATTTATGCCCATCCTGGTGAAACATTCTGGATTCATCCAGATTTCCTTTATCATGATTGATTTGATTTGTACATATATTTTACGTTGGATGATAAACTTAGCCAAAAATGAGATTCTTTGTTATAAATTATGTCATCAAGTTGGATGTATGACCCGGCTTTGAAGAAGAATGAAGCATACTGGGACTTATGAATAAAAATGCTAGAATAATGTTAAATAATAAAGTATGAGTTCAACAAGTAAGCTGAGGGGCAAGGAAGCAGAAAATATAGAAGATAAATGGTAATGAACCAGTTGATACATCTAATCCCAAAATAAAAGCCCAAAAAAAACAAATATATAGATAATTAGTTAAATATTGCAGAAGCTCAAAAGTCCAAAAATCATAATTACATAAAAAGAGAGCAATAGAAAAATATGAAAACTCTTAAAGTGATAGAGGTTATAGATTTTCTTGTGTAATAATAGTAAAAATGATTTAGAAAACTAGAAGTAAACGGTAAACATTTGGTCAAAGGTTAGATATTGGTTAAGGTTCCCAAAACCATATTCTGTTGTTCCAGGGCTAATCCTACTACAACTGTGTAAAAAGAACTTCACAAACGGGTTTGTACCGGCTAGGCCTGAATAACAAACCATCAATAAAGCAAAAAAAAAAAAGCAATGTTAACAAAGAGTATTTTTTTAATTTTTAATTTTTTTTTGTTATGCATGCTTTTAATTAGTTTCTGTTTTTGCGTAGACTACAACATATTCATACTCAGTTAAGGCTCTTGTTATGATGTTTACTCATGCAATATATGAGTATTTGCAAAATAATACAATCATAACCCTAGCAAACTGATCTCAACAAACTTAGTGGCCCAAGCCTAACAAAGGTCTCGACCCCGCCGAGTCATCAAGTCGATATTCTTTTAGGCCGACACGAAAGTCAGGGTCAATCGACCCTATTGTCGAAGACGACCCACCAAGGGCACTCGACC